GCTTGCTATTCATAAAAATTAATTTTATTCTGATGTCATATACACTTTTGCCCCCCCCCCCTCAGTGACACAGCGGTATGTCTGGGGACTTACAACGCTAGAATCCGGGTTTCGATACCCGTAGTGGGGAAAGCACGGATAGACCTTTGTGTAGCTTTGCGCTTAACTACAAAGAAACAAACATATATACTTAGTTATACAATTTCATTAAAGCTGCTACATAGCAAAACTTATAAACATAACATACGATCATTATCATTTCACATTCACTGACACCTTTGTCTTATCCTTCCCACAACGCATGGTGGGGTGGTGAGGGCGCTCGACTCACAACCTGCGGGTTCGAATCCACGTCACACCGAACGTGCTCGCCTTTTCTCACAACCTAATGGGTTCGAATCCACGTCACACTGAACGTGCTCGTCTTTTCTCACAACCTGTGGGTTCGAATCCACGTCACACCGAACGTGCTCGCCTTTTCTCACAACCTAATGGGTTCGAATCCACGTCACACTGAACGTGCTCGTCTTTTCTCACAACCTGCGGGTTCGAATCCACGTCACACCGAACGTGCTCGCCCTTTCTCACAACCTGCGGGTTCGAATCCACGTCACACCGAACGTGCTCGCCTTCTCAACTATAGGAGAGTTATAATGATACGGTCAATCTCACTACTCGTTGGTAACAGAACAACCCAACAGTTGGCGGTGGATCTTTCACTGCTAAATTAAGCACGGCTCGCGCAAATAGCCCTCGTGTAGCTTTACACGAAATTCAAAACAAAACAAACCTTCCTAAAACGCCTAAAACTTTTTGACGCCTCCTTCTTTAAACTTCTCTCTCCTTATATCGTGGTCTTGTGTGACCTAGTGGCTAGTGTGCCCGAACAGTGAGTCGGATGATTTATGTCTCGTGCAGTAGAAAAATCGCCCCGACCTTTAGATCCGGGCTTGAGTTATAAGAGTGACGGTCAAATCCCACTATTTGATCACGAAAAAGTTGACTAATTGCCTTCCCTTCAGCCCATCATTTCACAATTAAAGACGCCGAGCGCAACTCTTTGTGTGGCTATGCGCCAATTCCGAAACAAAAAACAAACCCTAATGAACAAACTAAGAATTTCAGAGAAACATCTGTAGTCTTAAATGTCTTTTTTGCCATAAATATTAGGCCTTAAACCTATTGGATGATTATGATTGTGTACCAACCAGAGTTGAATCACGTGAATTCACACTCGTTGCTGTTATTTTCTGTTTACATAATGCACTCTTTCGCTGAGTCGACTCACGTGAATTCACACTCGTTGCTATTATTTTCTGTTTACATAATGCACCCTTTCGCTGAGTCGACTCACGTGAATTCACACTCGTTGCTATTATTTTCTGTTTACATTATGCACCCTTTCGCTGAATCGACTCACGTGGATTCACACTCGTTGCTGTTATTTTCTGTTTACATAATGCACCCTTTCGCTGAGTCGACTCACGTGAACTCACACTCGTTGCTGTTATTTTCTGTTTACATAATGCACTCTTTCGCTGAGTTAACTCAAACAAAAAATAATAGCCACGAGTTGGAATTCCACCTAAAAGTTTTTGTTTTTTTTCTGCGCGCAATAGTATTCCTCCGCCCAAGTAGCTTGCGGTAAAATGAGTTACTAAAACTATTAACAGAAACATGTTGTAAATTCCCTCTGTACTTGTCACTCCGACATCATCACTGCTGTAGTTTATACATTCGTTTTCAGCGACCTCTTTTTTTTTTTTCTTCTACCCCTTGTCGTGATTTCCTTGTTGTTGTTTTTTTTTGTTGTTGTTGTTCAGCGAAAGTTTATTGGAACTTTTGCTTTAATAAATGACATAACGAGAGCTGCTTAAAACGGCCTAAAGTGGATTGCGCTGAAAGACAAAAACAAAAAATTAAATTGAAGATATTTTTATCTCTGTTTGGAGTCCTATGTGGGATTTCCCGAGTCCCGCGAGGCTTGAAGACAGCTTGTTTGTTAATAATTCCAAGATAAGTGAAATACAATGAAGTTCAAGTTGCGTGGTTGGAAAAGGCACGTGGGCAGTGAATACCCCGAGTCTCGTGGTAGGGGTGTGGTTCTAATTGACTGAAAATATCGTTCATAAAAACGCCTCTCGTTGTACAAAGTTTGAGGGAAAATCTTCTAATTACGAACCAGGATAAGGAGAATAATTCAGGTCCTCACGCTACCGAAATATCTTGCTTAATTAGGCCTCGTTTTAGCGTTAGCCACCCGTCTTTTGGTTATATCTTTAAGATCTTATCTATTGTACGACTTGGACGTAGAGGATCAGAATAATAGTACTTACAATGAAACGTCCTGTCTGCTAACAGATGGTTCTATACTATTTCTACTTCGAAATGGACTCAAAACGAGTTCTATTAAAGTCTACGATTTTTAAGAAGCTCTAAAATTCCCCTTGAGTCAGTCAGTTGAAATCTCTGAAATCCTCATGAGTCAATTAACTAATATTGTTTTTAAATCATATAGTTGTTATATCGGTGGTGGGACATTAGGTTCAAACGTTTCTTATGGCCGAAATCTCATTTTTAACCATTTTTTTAAATATATATATATATATGAGAGGTTGATTTGTTTTAAGCTCAAAGCTAAGCAAGGGGCTATGTGTGTTCTGGCCACCACGGGTATCGAAACCTGATTTTTAGCGTCGTAAGCCTTCAAACTTACCGCTGAGCCACTGGAGGGCAATTTAAAAAGAAAGTGAACCCTAAGATTTCGTGCTTGTTAAGAGCAATTATTTTGAGTAATCGTAAGATTACAACCAACATTCCAAAATGAGGGCTTAAATCTATCTAACAAAATCGTAGCTATAAAAAATAGACCTTGGTGAAACAATAAGTTCAGAGATAACGCACACAATAAAAGATCTAAGATTCCTTTTTTGTCGTAAATTCCTTCAAATTCTTATCGTAAATTAAACTCACATTAACGTCTTCAAGATATAAGTGGCCGCTAGAGGGCACTAAGTTCTTAAAGAGGTGTGGTCGTGATTTCTCTAGATATCTCAAAAATCGTGACTATAATTTTTTTCTTTATCAGAAGAAACCCGGGACAATGTCGTGACAAATAGTCAGTCCTTGTCTGTCGTATTTAATCTGGTTGTTAACCACAACACTTTAAACAGTAGTTTATACTATTTTTCTGGTCAGTCACGTGTACCGCGTGAGAGGATTCTACATACGTAGCGAGCTCATTCCAATGACGGACAATGACCGACACCTATCGTTGGATCAGGAAAGCTATGTTCGTTAAATAACAGGCTGGTGTGTTTTTATTTTACGAAAGAGTTGTTTCTTACGAGAGAGAAAAAAAAGGCAATACTTAAAATTTGTAGATTAACAAAACATGACATGGATTACTAAATGAGGCCTAATACAAATCAAATATACAGAATGACTTACGTCATTGGCACTAAATGTGTTTTTTTTTAATACAACAACGTTTCAACCGTCCTGCTCGGCACGTGTTTTGTGATTGTATTTATAACAATTTCAGGAAAAAAAATACATTTTGGTATTGTTACGTAAATGTGTATATTGATGTTTTTAGAGAAAAAGGATTCGAAAAAATTCGACAACTGTTCGACAGCAGTAATCATATGAGAATAAAATCGAAAATTAAAATATTTAAAAATCAGGAGCGTCATTTCTAGGGGGAGCCACCTCAACGCTCGGAGAGGCCCGAGTGGCAGATTTTATGAAACATTTCTAATCAGACCTGATTAAACAGAAATATGCAAATAACACGTTAACATAGGGCCCCCAACCAACTTGAGGGACCCACATTAGGACAGCCGTCTTGCTCCCTCCCCCAAGCATTTCGTGAAATGACTCTCCTAGTTTAAAATATATTGTTTCCCCGCAGTCTGTATTTTTTTTAAACTTAATTAGAATTGTTTTCCCATACTTCTGAAAGTTTAACACCGTTGTCCCTACTTCTGAAAGTTTAACACCGCTGTCCCTACTTCTGAAAGTTTAACACCGCTATCCCTACTTCTGAAAGTTTAACACCGCTGTCCCTACTTCTGAAAGTTTAACAGAATGTCTTATAACCCACTCAAACAAATCTAAGACAAATGATGGTACACCCTAAAGACTCCTTCCTCCTTTATCAACGGGGGTGGGGGTGGGGTCTACATGGTGCTACTGATATTTAGGAAGTTTAACATAGATAAAATGGAGAAAAGTGTAACCGAAACCAAAGAACATATTTCGGCAACAAAACTCTTCCATCCAGAACCTGCCCCCTCTGAGGGACTTACAACGCTAAAATCTGAGGTTCGATTCCCTGCAGTGGACGCAACAGGTAACCCAATATGGCTTTGCTCTAAAACAAACAAACCATCCAAAACGCAGCGTCATCACCGAGCATTGCCTAGAACACAGAATCTGCCAACAAAACACTACAAATGTCTCGAGAAAGGGAGAACATTTACAGTTTATATTCCAACAATTGTTCTCGCGAATAGGGACGGCGGTGTTGGTTAAGTCGTCCTCAGGTTCCTTTTACATATGGTATACGTGCGAACATTCTGATGTTAAGTCGTCTTCGGGTTCCTTTTACATATGGTATACGTGTGAACATTCTGATGTTAAGTCGTCCTGGTATACGTGTGAATTGGTGAGACTTCGTGGGTTTACGGGTGAAATGAATGTAATGTTCTTTATTTTTCGGTAGATTTGACCTCATTTCTCTTTTCCTTTGTGTGTTTCAATTTTTCCTGGACCCCGGTGGACGAGCGGTAAAACCGGGTTTCGATACCCGTGGTGGGCATGGTACAGATAGCCCATTGTCTAGCTTTGTGTTTAACTACAAACAGTTTCAGGGTTACGTGTCACTATTGTTTATTATGCAGTTTTTGTTATGAGTTGGGTGATAGGAAGAATCATTGAGATATCGGAATGAATGTGTTTGTTGTTTAAACACGTTCTGTAAAGTTCACATCAAATCATATAACGGTCGCAATGTCGCTGTAATAACACTATTTCTTTTCAGTGACATTGGTATTGCTTAAACGCAAGTAACGTTCATTTTAAGCCTAACGATGGTCGAAACTTTGCTGTAATGAGACAGCATTTCCTGTCAATGGCGTGGGTATTGTTTAAGTACCTGTCATGTAACGTTCATTTCAGTCCTCGCTCTTTTAACCGTGGGGGCGTTATAATGTGACGGCCGATCCCACTATTCGTTGGCAATAGAGTAGCCCAAGAGTTGGCGGTGGGTAGCGATGACTAGCCTTTCCTCTAGTCTTACACTGCTAAATTAGGGCCGGCTAGCGCAGATAATCCTCGTGTAGCTTTGCGCAAAATTCAAAACAAACAAACAAATTATTGCCATCTGTCGGTTATTCTCGGCATTATAACCAAGTATTTTAGCTTGGCGATCTTTACAAGCTATGTCTTTTCATCACTGTACCTGTTTTTGTTTTCCAACACAATAAACTTTTATATAAAGTGATATTTCGTTTCTTGAACGAAGTCATGCAACTGTGTGGTTTATTCACGTTTTTAACCCCTGGTGGCACTGCTGTAGCAGACTTTTTGATAAATGTCAAATTTTACTACCACTTAGCAACAATTCAACAACTACCTGTATTCGACACTCGCCGTCTGGAAATACCAGTGTGCTCACTTGTTTTATTGGCTTTATAAGCCTTTATGTTTTTTACTGATAGGAAGAGCGGGTGTTCCTTATTGCACATATTTTACGTTGATTGCTTAATGGTCATAACATTTAATGAACTTCTACCAGTTCTGGTCAGCTACGTAGGTAGCGCTACTGATTATTCTTAAGTCATTACCTTCTGTCTCATGTTGTTGTTGTTGTTGTTTTCATTGATCGTTGTTTGGTGAAGTGACCTGGGAGGATCAGGTCCATCCTGAACCTCTCCACCTCTACCCTTGGCTCTTGGTTTGGTTGTGAGTATCGTGGATGAAACCCACGTTAATTATTCGGTAGAAATCGGCCCGTCAGTTAGGAAAACTCAATATTATCTCTGCCACCGATGGTGACGAATGTTATGTTTTCACCCCTGTGTGTGTATGTATGTATGTGTGTGTGTGTGTGTTTGTTTGTCAGCAACATTTCTCGAAAACGGCTGAATGGATTTAAAACGAAAGTTGGTATAAATTTGGACTAGGTCCCAACTTAGACGTGATTAGTTTTTGGTGGTCAAAGGTCACAGCAATGTCACGAAAAAAAGAATCCCTATCTGTTCTATAACTCGGTCAAAAATGATCAGATTTTGATGAAACTTGGTGGACATGTGTAGAATATTATTCCTCATTGTTCTGCCAAAAAATGGTCCGTGTCAGCTCATAAAGACGGGAATACGGACACATTTTCGCATTCTTTGAGAGCCGAATATCATCAACGCTGCGTGACAGGGGTCTGCGCCCTCCTGAGTGCCCCTCTAGTTAAAATCATGCAGCCACTGCATGCACGTTACAATAGTTCGGTCGCACACGCGAGAGGCCCTTTTCAGGCCATGTCCATGAATGTAATACGTATATTTTTCGTGCGTTCTGGTATATGGGAACTTTGAGGGAACTTTTTAAACCACTTTCAGCTATTACACCACCTGGTGACAGCGATATGGGAACTGTTTTAACCACTTTGTGATCTTTCGCCACCTGGTGACAGTTATATGGAAACTGTTTTAACCACTTTGTGATCTTTCACCACCTGGTGACAGCTATATGGGAACTGTTTTAACCACTTTGTGAACTTTCACCACCTGGTGACAGCTATATGGGAACTGTTTTAACCACTTTGAGCTATTACACCACCTGGTGACAGCTATATTGGAACTGTTTTAACCACTTTGTGATCTTTCACCACCTGGTGACAGCTATATGGGAACTGTTTTAACCACTTTGTGATCTTTCACCACCTGGTGACAGCTATATGGGAACTGTTTTAACCACTTTGAGATATTACACCACCTGGTGACAGTTATATGGGAACTGTTTTACCACTTTGAGCTATTACACCACCTGGTGACAGCTATATTGGAACTGTTTTAACCACTTTGAGCTATTACACCACCTGGTGACAGCTATATGGGAACTGTTTTAACTACTTCGTGATCTTTCACCACCTGGTGGCAGCTATATGGGAACTGTTTTAACCACTTTGAGCTATTACACCACCTGGTGACAGTTATATGGGAACTGTTTTAACTACTTCGTGATATTTTACCACCTGGTGACAGCCACGTGGGAACTGTTTAAACCAAATTGTTATCTTTAACCACCTGGTGACAGTTGTGTGGGAACTGTTTTAACCACTTTGTGATCTTTTACCACCGAGTTACAGCTATATCGGAACTTTTTTAACCGGTTGAAATCTTTTATCACCTGGTGACAGTTATGTGAAACATATTTAACCAGTTTGTGGTATTTTATCATACAATGACAACTTTGAAGGAACTTTTTTTTTGACCAGGTTGGGATCTTTGTCCACCTGGTGATAGCTATGTGGGGACATTTTTTAACATCTGGTGACAGCTAATTGGGACTTTTTTAACCCTATAATTTTAGTGTCAGTTATGATACTGGTTATTTTCTTTCAACACACGTCCATGTCTCGTCACGTCTACATCCCTAATCCATAACTTATAGTGATTCAGTTTCCACTATAAATTGATATAAAAAATATGAAGCACGATAAGGTGTACTTTAGAGAGAGAAAAAAAATATTTTCCTAGAGAAAAAAAAGCGATATCAATTCGAAACAGCTTACTCGGAGAAACTAACACGTGATCTCGAAACTGACACCGCCCCCCCCCCTCAGTAGCGCAGCGGAATGTCTGCGGACTTACAACGCTAGAAACCGGGTTTCGATACCCGTGGTGTGCAGAGCACAGAGAGCCAATTGTGTAGCTTTGTGCATAATTACAAACAATCCACTAAGTATGTAGTCTGAACAGAAACGCCCCCCAGTGGCACAGCGGTATGTCTGCGGACTTACAACGCTAAAAACCGGGTTCGATACCCGTGGTGCGCAGAGCACAGAGAGCCAATTGTGTAGCTTTGCGCTTAACTACAACCAACCAAACTGTCGACGTATGATTAACTTACTTGTCGAATGGACATCAGTATTAGGCCTATCACTGCATTCTATATATAGTGCCTTAAGGATTTTCAAGAAATTCAGACTGAAAAAAAAAATATATATATATACCTTAAAATATTAATAACGTACACACGACGTTGACTTAATGTACAATAAAATTTGATTTATTAAAAACGGGGCACAGACCTGGAAAAGACGGAGTGTAAGTTTGTTTTTGAAGTTAAGCACAAAGCTATACAATGGGCTATCTGTGCTCTGCCCACCACGGGTATCGAAACCCGGTTTCTACCGTTGTAAGTCCTCGGACATACCGCTGTGCCACTGGGGAGCGAGTAGAAGTTACAAGTAAAACACTGACTTCCGTACATACTTAACACTAAATATGAATATAAACATGTGTTAAGACAATGTTATACTTTTAACTTTTACTCCCGGTGATGATGGCGAAATGCGCCGCCGAAATATGTGGACTTCGTTTAGGGGCTGCGCACCTTTTTAAATATACTAATCTTTTCTGTGCAATAATTCAACGTTGTGTGTGCGTCTTTGATATTTTATATGTGCGCGCAAGTGTCGCCTAATTTTGTGAAGTTATATCGTCTTTTCGCTCTTTAAAGGCCGGGCGTTGCCTAGCGGTTAGTGTGGGTCCGACAGTCCATGCCTTGCGCCTCATTACCGCCAAAAACGCGCTCCGAACTTTGAGTCTATAGTTACGTTATACAACTAAGAGTAACAGTCAAACCCCATTATTCGATTAGAGTAGCCCCAAGAATCGGTGTGGGGTAGGGGCGAACAGCTACCTTTCCCCTAGTTTATAAGTTAAACACTTTGTTTATTTTAGAGCAAAGCCACATTGGGTTATCTGCTCTGTTCACCGCGTATAATCGATCCCCGGCTCTTAGCGCTGTAAGTCCGTAAACTTACCGCTGTCCCGCCGAGGTACGCGTTCAAACTGGGTGTTGCGACTAGCTGCCTTCCCTAGGGACGGTATCGTGTAGCTTTGTCTGTGAAGGCCCGGCATGGCCAGGTGGTTAGGGCACTCGACTCGCAGTCTGCGGGTCGCGGGTTCGAATCCCAGTCCCACCAAACATGCTCGCCCTTTCAGCCGTGGGGGCGTTATAATGTGACGGTCAATCCCACTATTCGTTGGTAAAAAGAGTAGCCCAAGAGTTGGCGGTGGGTGGTGCCTTCCCTATAGGGTATAAGTCCAAAACTAGGGACGGTATCGTGTAGCTTTGTCTGTGAAACAAACACGTTTCTTTTCCTCTGAAATTTAATGCAAAGTATTATTCACCTACTTGAGGATTGAATCAAAAAAATCAGCGCCGTCTGTTGTTTACAGAGAAAAGTTTTTAATTAAGCATTATGAAAGGAACGTTTGTCAATAGAACAGTTTGTTTTATCAACTAATCCCGGTTTGGAAGTACGGGAAAATATTCATAACATTTCATTATTTAGCTGTTCGTGACCCAACCACAGCTGTACGTGACCCAACCACAGCTGTTCGTGACCCAACCACAGCTGTATGTGACCCAACCACAGCTGTATGTGACCCAACCACAGCTGTACACAAACGAAAATAATGAGTTTAACGCGCCCTCTCAGCAAAGAGAGAGAAAGATTTGAAATCCACTTCGATTATTGTGTTTTTACACCGGTTGTGTCTTGCTAAATGACAGTCGACAAACTGAGTAAAGGATAAATACCTTGATGTTAAAACTCGGGAGGCTGAGTAAAGGATAAAAACCCTGGAATTAAAACTCGGGAGACTGAGTAAAGGATAAAAACCCTGGTGTTAAAACTTGGGTGACTGAGTAAAGGATAAAAACCCTGGAATTAAAACTCGGGAGACTGAGTAAAGGATAAAAACCCTGGTGTTAAAACTTGGGTGACTGAGTAAAGGATAAAAACCCTGGAATTAAAACTCGGGAGACTGAGTAAAG